TTGTTGCCATCTTTCTCTTCCTTAAAATGAAGCCAAACTTTCTATCGCTTTACCCGATGGGGCGCCATTTTTTTGGTTTTGCTTTTCTAGACTTACGCCTGGTCACGTCGTACTTGCTTAAGAATGCCGTGTGAGTAACTTGCACAAAAAATGTGATGCAAGTCGTGCCCGGCGCTAGGCTCTGGTGCTGCCTGGAACTGTTAAGAGAATTGTTAAGCGAGCTGCTAAACGGTGCCGTGGAATTGGAACACACGGAACCGGTTCTGAACAGGAACCGGTTTTCGATTCCCATCCCTAGACGTCTGTGTCTTCAGCAGGCGTAGAGCTAACAGAACTGGCAGCGTTGCGAGGCAAGGGCTCAAACATGTACGGCTGTAAGCCTTCTACACCAAACCAAGCTTCTGCCGCCCTGGCGTCCTCTTCCACAACATCTTCATCCCTGCTTTCCTCCTCTAAATAAAAAATGTATGACGGAGGAGACTCATCCACGACCTCCGACACTAAACTCTGCTCCTCTTGCATGTTTCCTCTGTCCGTAGCGTTCCTTCCGCCACAACAATTCCGTCCCCTTAATAAATGTTCGCTTTATTCACTCGTGTAAAGTCGTGCACCACTCGGGAAAATTCGGAAATGCAACGATTGGAACAGCCGTTTCCCTACTACTTTAGTTCACACCTTTAGTCTTAGATATGACACCTTCCCTAGAACAGCAATTCCCCTCGTGGGCTCCAGGCATGGGGCCCACATAGAGCAGTCAGTCCTCACAACGTGTTCTTTTTCCAGAAAATGAGCCCCACAGTGTTTTCAATACAATATTGCACAGCCACACACCCACATGCTGCTTATTCGCTCAACTGATTATTGGATTTTTGTTAATCCATAATTATGAAAATGACCAAAAAAAATAAAAGCTTCTAATGTGCCTACATAATCTGTATAAGTTTAACTTTCTAAAAGTTGTGACAAGTATCCAAGAATATTTCCAGATCCTCAGCTGTTCTAAGATGTACCTGTATGTGATGATCTGTCTGTTCTGCTGAGGTGAAGTTTCCTACTTTCTTCTGATCGTCTCCAGTGTCGTCGATGCCGCCCCCGCCTCCGTCGCTGTCTCGCCTGACGGAAGAGGAGCTGAGGGAGCTGGAAGCTGAGGGGCGGCGGGGCCTGGAGGCCCGACTGCAGTGTCTCCAGAACATTCACACTCTGCTGGACGCCGCTATGCTCAACATCCACCACTACCTTAGCACCGTCGCCACGCTAACGTAAGTTATACCAGCAGACGTAGAGAGGTGCCGATCTGGTGACCTGCTGACGTGTTTGTTCTGCTGCTTTCATCGCAGCCCTCCGCGGCCTGAGGGCGACGGCGCTGCAGGAGCCGGAGGATCCAGTCAGGAGGCAGCTGCCAGCAGCACTCAGAGCTCGACCACAGAGAAGGAATCCTCCACCTGTACGTAACTGATACAAGTCTCCATTACATTTGCTTTTGGTTTAAAAACGAGAGAGGAGGTGTTAGAAGGGGGGCGGAGGAACGGAAGCTCTTTCTTAACCGCTGCTCTTCTTTCTTTTATCCTGCAGCGGATCCAGCGAGTGGAGCCGCGGTCTCCTCCCAGCCCGCCGACTCCACCTCCTCCACTTCAGAGTCGGAAAGAAAGGAAAACTGGGACGAAGAACTGATGGAGGACGAGAACGGGGAGCCGAGCGCCGCTGAGCTGAGGCGCCGCCGCCTCCGCAAGCTAGAGACAGCGTCACCGTCTTCCTCATCGCCCCCCCCTCCTCCAGATAACTAGTTTTTCATTATGCGGCGGGGGGCAACATGTCGCTCTGAACCATCAGGAACTCAAAGATAACTCATGGCTGCTTCGGTGCCTCTCGCCTTCCACAGGCTCAGGTTTCTCACGCTGTCGAGTTGGACTCAAGCTGTCGGAAGGCGCGACCGCTTCTGTGTCAGACAGCAGCAGCGCTTCTTCTTCTTTCTTTTTCTTTTTGATTTCATCAACTCCAGAGCGGACTTCTGCAGGCGTTTGGACGTTGAGGCATGAAAAGCTCTCATGTTGAGGCTGTGATTGGTCGGTGTGAGAGTCTGCGTTTAGCTCTAGTTTTGCTCTTGTTTAACTCTTTGGTTCAATCCAGTCGTCCTCAGTGGGGAGGTGGCCCCCCACTCGCCGTAAAGAACACGTCCCACAGCAGAGGAGTCATCAGCTAACCCACTATGTTCAGTTCAAGTGAAGCCGAGCGGCTCCTCGTTTCCCTGGGTTCTGACCCTGATTCCACTGCTGACACTGTAACATAGTGATTTATTGGAGACTGTATATACTGTATAAAAGGTTTTAATAGGAGAATGTGTTCGTGCTGCGGAATAAAGCGACTGAAGCAGCCGTGGAGCATGTGGGTATGAATGCTCCCAGCATTGAGACCGCGGATGTTGGCCTTTTTCTACAGGTTTTCTGCTGCAGCGATGTGACGTGTGGCTGTTTAAATTAAAACTTCTGAATTATTTCTGAATCACTTCTTTGTGGTTGAAACCATTATTTTATGTAGACTTTCTGGGGAGCGTACATTCAGGCAGTTCTGTGTTTTGGTTTGAGACCAAAAATGGAAAAAAACAAAACAGTATTTTCTTTTATGTTTTTTTGAACCAAAGCGATAAAACAAAGAACCGTTATCTGCTTTCCCAATTTTTGCACTAAAGAAAAATAGAAAAAAAAAAAAGCAGTTTTGATCTTCTCTATGCACTGCATACATCCTGCAGAGAGTCTTGTATAAAGCCGGGCATACGCTGTACATTTTTTTTGCCCTTTACGGGCCCATTCTCCAGTTGTGCAAGTATTTTTCGATCTGGCTGACCTTCAGCCTGCACAAGCATCGTGTAGCGTACAGGGTGTAACGAGTGGTGATGCACCTCTCGCTACCACCTCCCAATTAGGAATCGTAAGGTCGGAAGAAAGTCAGACAAATTTGAAAATTCAAGTTTGAAATTAATCTTCTTTTGCTCAGCCATGTCTTTGTCCAAATATGTCGTCGCCTTTTCTTTTTAGGGCTTTCAGCACAATATTGCACAAACTGCCAGGGCAGCGCTTTTCACTCTAGTGAGCTTCATATTCCTCCTCTTCTCGTTTGGCTTCCGGATAGACGAGTCCGAGTAGCTCCATCTCACTGCGTAGCTGAGTCCGACGTGGTTTTTAGACGTATAGTGTTAGCAGTTAGATCGCATCAGTTGCGCAGTGTGAGAACATGCATCGTGAGCTGTGAACTCGCACTGTACGATTAAACCCTGTGGTTTTGTCGTACAGTGTGAGCTGTAGCTGCGTGCAAAGATTGGGAAAATAATTGCACAGTGTAAGAGTGGCTTATAACTTTAGGCATATAGAGGGTTTCTCAGCAATCAAAGGTGTGAGTTCATAACAATGCTTTAATCTTTTGACCATAGCATAGGAGTATTTTATCTAATTCCTTTTCAGGTTCATTAAATGGAAAAACTGATGTTTTTTGTTCCTTTCATGTTTGTTTTAAAGCAGGAAAGCAATTGTATATTAATCCTTTAATTTAATAGGGTTTCAAAAAAACCCTCCCAGATAAAGACAGGAATTTCCATTAAAATACCGGACCAATATTATTAGGATGCACTTTAATCTTTAAGATTTCAAAAGGTTACAGAGAAAAGGAGCCCCAGAAAAAAAAAAAAGAAAGAAATGTCTTTAGTATTTTGTGAATCTTCTTTGCTCTTCAACATCAAACGGTCTGTAGATCCAGAGGTGGATAACGCAGAGAGGAAAAACCCCTTATCTGTTTTCCTTCCTCCTGTTTACCAGGTGATCTGTGTGTTAGAGCTGGAAATGCACACGGTTGAAACTGACCTCTATACAGGCTTTTTACCCTTTGGCCCTGGATTATCTACCTGTCTGTAGATCTAAAAAAAAAAAAAATTGAGTAAAAAACACATGGTTGTTCCATGCATTCATGAAAAACACAATACTCTGGACTGCTGGGTTTTTTCTTTTTAGTTCTTGCGGCACTAGTGGCTCGTTTTTTCGAGGTAGGGTGGCAGGAAAGGGGTATGAGAGAGATGGAAAGGTCGGATTCAAAACCCCGGTTGCCCGCATGGAGGACTAAGGCCTCTGTACATGGGTCCTGCGCGCTAACCACTGCATCACCTGCACACCCGACTGCTGGATTTTTAAAAGTGAAAAACATGATGGATAAAGAAAGGGGAACGAATAAGCTGAGAAAAAGCAACATTGAGTAGAACGTTGAGTAGATTGGTAGAAAATGAATCTTAAAACTCCAACGGCATAAAAACATGTTATTGATTCAGATTTCAGGAAATCTGTTGGTCAGAAAAAAAAACTTTTTGTCCAACAGAGCAGATGTTTGACTTTAGCAAAGCTTCTTTTTGCCTCAAATCATCTTCAAGCTTTATTTGGTGAAGCTCAGACAGCGATGATGGTGCCAGGCACTGATTTAGAAAATGTTTTCTATGAACCAAATTAAGCTTTAAAGATGCTTTCAGCTGAGAACGTAGCTTAACATTTCACAGAGTGCACATCTTTTCCTTCGACCATGCAGACCGTTAGAAACATGTTCCCCTTCAGTGCAGCACAGAGCCCTGATGCTTGAATGATTCTAAGTGGCAGAGGAATCTGTCTTCAGGTGAGTTTGCTGCAGATCTGGTTTATTAAATGAATCCTATATATAAATAGAGGGATTTAACTTACGGTAACACTGAAAGGAAAAGACAAAACAAGTAGTGCCTCCATATAATGTGAGTTTAGCTAGCCAGATGTGCTGCTCCAGAGATTTTTTTTTTATTTTCTAAGAAAACTTCTGATCATCTAGATATCTGGGTCCTTTCTGATGTTTTCCTTTAAGTCATCGTGCAGGTTTTCTGTAGGATTTAGATCCTGAGCTTGAGATGGCCATGAAACCAGCAAACTGTTCATTTCTTTAAAACTCTCTCATTATTCTAGTTAAAGGAAAGAACCAAACACGACTCACTTTCACTTTAATTCACAGCTTTTATTTTCTGCTCCCCCCCCCCCAGTTCCATTTAGCAGTAGACACAAAGTTTTTCCTCCACATCAAAATTAAGTTTATTGCCAAAAAAGCTTAATAGGTCTCATCTGACCAATAAACACAGGCCTGCATGTTGACGTTTGTGATGGTAGGATAGAAGAAGCTTTGTAAGACAGCTACAGAGAGCTTTAGAAAAGTCTAAAATATAAACGTCAGTTACATTTATTGTAAATTACTGTCAGTGCCACCGTTGTTTCACTTAAAACATTTCAATTAATGTGCATTCATTGCACCATGAGGTATAATCAAGAGTGCGGGAATGTCTGATGAAGCAGCGCTACCAGATTGGAACTAAAAACAAGATTTAATCCCAGATTTATTGCCACAGACTAAATTAAACCCAATAAGCCTGCTTACATAGAAAGATCTGCCTAGCAACAGGAGGATCAGGTTTACAGCAATGTGTTTATTGGTCGACTGCAGGCTGTGTAAGTTATGAGGGCAGAGTGAGAGGTGAATGATTAAAAAAAAAAGCATATTCTCTGATGGAGCATTAATGAAAACAATAGATTTTAGCTAAAAAGAGAACATAAATAAATTAAAATCATCCAGTCAAACAAATGGATTCACAGAAGGAGAAACAAAATCCACTGCTTTAAAAATAAAATAAATGCTTCCCCAGAAACAGAAACTACACATTGGTAGCTGCAGGATGGAGACGCATAAAAAACAAAACAAACCTTGACTAAAACCTCTGTATTGTAGTCCACTTCCTGTTTCACCTTTAGGGGATTGGACTAAAAAGCAGTTAAGAATTGAGTTGCTTTAAGTCCACTGAAGCTAAAAAAAAACACCGTATGAACTATAAGAGTCAGCTTCACAGTGAGTAATACTAATAAATAAACAAACATTAGGTTGACCTTCATGGAGCTCTGTGCTTTTAGGGTCATCCTCCCAATAACAGTGTTCCCTTTAAGTCTGAGAAACAGTCATTTCTGTTCTCTTTTATAAAAAATATACTACAAGGTGCATCTTCTTAGCTTTCCTGAGGTTTTCAGTGCAAATTCAACCACGGAGCAGGAGGAACAACTTGCCGCCAGCTGCGCGCGCGGTCCTGGTGCCCCTGAGATGGCGGCTTGGTTGGTGAGGTTCGGCCTCAGTTCTGAGGGGTGGAGTAGAAAGAGTGGTGCTGGTGGCTCTGGTCTGCAGGGTTGTTGGCGAACAGGAGGGGCGCCGTCTCTGGTCCGCACCAGCTGCAGAGGCAAAAGGAGCACTAAAAGTTAAAAAGAAAGACCCTAAAGTAGAGATGTTTGCTGGTTATTTGTTTCTTATTCATTCATTTAAAGTTAACTATATATTGTCTAAAGTATTCCCATTCCTTACTTAATTAAAAGGAAAGGAAAGATTCTACAATGTAAAGTGCCTTAAGATGAGATGTGTTGTTAATATGCTCTATATAAATGGGGGAGTGGTGGCATAGAGCTTGGGATCCTGAGGTTGTGAGTTCGAAACCCACTCCCACAGACTGCCACACTGGGTCTCTGAGCAAGACACTTGTGACAATGTAATGACAATAAAACACTGGAGTAGTATTTCAGTGAAATACTCTGAAAATCAAAATTTCAAGCCAATAGTGTTTTTGGAATCCAGGACAATAAATGGATAAGCTTATAACTATGGATATTTTGAAGGAACAAAAATGAATGTCGATGTAATAAAAGGGAACGCCAACTTTCCCAAATATATTAAGAAAAATAACAAAAGTGCTTCTATGAGAAATTCTTGAAAAACAGAGTAAAAGAAACTCTTTTTTTTTTTTTTGGTAAACAATAACCTTAGAGGCATTAATGCTGAAACTGGCACTTACTTTTTTTTTAGTTTATAAACCTAAATGTAATTGTTAAATAGGCTTATTTAAACTAGTCCTAAAAATAAACATTTTTGTGTACAAACATTTTTTTTTTACGGTTTTGTTCTCTGTGTTTTTAAAAAGAACAACAATATAAATACCGTTTAGTTTTGTTCCAAATTAATAATTGAGACAGGATAAAAGATACCGAGATGAACAGGCATCCTGCATAGTGAGAAGAACACTTTTTAGAGCTCTGGTTCACAGCATTAAAGTTGCAAATTGCATTAAAACTCAAACAGAACTAAAACCTAAAAGAGGTGGACGGATGGAGAATGGCTCTCAGACTCTGATCCCTGGTCTGCAGTGTTTCTCAGTGTCTTCATCTGTACCACTATCTGTGTTTTTCTATAAACAAACTTTGCTCCAACTGGACAGATTCTACTCACACTCTAGATTTTCCCAGATTTTTCGCTGCTCTTATGTCATATTGATGCCAAAACAAAAAGATTGTGACCGTTTGGAGAAAAAGGTGTAGAAATTTGGAGATCTGTGTTCAAATTTAGAGAGTAAATGTCCTTCAGAGAAATATTACTCAAGTAGAGATACCAAAAAGAGCTACTGAAGTACAGCATTTACACTCAGTTACTTGACACCTCTGCATATTTGAACAAACACTAAAAACAGGACTCTAGCTCAGGCACATTTCTTTATCTGTTGGCTTTTTACAGTCAAGCCTCAGGTTTTTCACCCAAACTTTGAATCAAGTCTCAAACAAACTAGAATCAGTGCTTTCTCATTAAACCCAGGTCGGCTAGCTCACCGCTAACCACGCATGGCTGCAGCTTTGCACAGGTTGCTCCTCCTCCCTCACAGTCAGCCAGGGAACTTTTATTATTAGTAAACCTTTTTCTGAATGCACATCTGAAAACCTCTGTTCTCAATTTTAAACATTTTAAATGTTCACATTTAAAGTATTAACTGCAACATAAAAAACATCTAGTAAGAAAATAAATGAATGGAACAGGAAGTGCTTTTATTTTGCTAATTCCAGTGGTAAAAGTGCTAGCACTGGCTTAGAAGGAATAGTGTCAGAGATAAGCAAAGTTGATTTAGTTTCATTAAAGCAATACAGCGTATGTTGATCCAACTATTAGTTTAGTTTAAGATATATTTTTTTAAGATCAATATTCAGCTCTTAGTGCCTATTGATGCTCTATGCAGGCTGCTTTACTCAGAAACTTCAGAGGGTCATGGCACCACTTCACAGCAGATCTAAGCTCCCTTTAAAATCGTAGGGAAGTCATATTTAAATGTTGAATCATTCTGGCCTAAACATGTATATAAATGTACTCTTTATCAGACTATATTATCCCAAAAGTTAGAAAATTTCTATTTATTAAAATCTTTAAGTCTGTGTTTTATTTTTTAATTGTTATCTTATGTAGGCCAGTTAGTTATACGTCAGCCTGAACAACTGAATTCGGCCAATCCAGACCACTCAGGTCTTCTGGCTCCAGCCTGCTCTGCATACCTAGAACCAGAACTAAACATGGAGAAGCAGCATTTAGTTCCTAGGCTCCACTTATCTGGAACAAACTTCCAGAAAACTGTAAAAGTGCGGAAAGCCTGAGTTCCTTTAAATCAAGACTAAAAACACATTTGTTTAGGATTGCCTTCGACTGTTCTAGTTAAACAGTTCAACTAAAACATCATTAGTTCAACTTTTTTATTGTCTTTAGTCTAACTGTTTTTAATGTTCTTTTTTGTTTCTGCATTTTTTTAATTAATTAATTTATTTCCTACTTGCTTTGATTCCGTTTTATTTTCCTATATTTTAATCATGTAAAGCACTTTGCATTGTCTTTGTACTGAATTGTGCTATACAAATAAATTTGCCTCACCTGGCCTTGCCAATCATATATCAACGGTCATCTGTCAATCAAATTTTTTCAGTCATAGCATCTTGATTTCCTATGTCGCAGGTAATATATGCAACCGTTGAAACGGCTGAGTTGCGCTATTTTATTTTTTACACTACGACTTGGAATTGTGGGTAATCCAGAGCATAGATTAAAATAAAATAAAAAAATAAATAAAAAATATAGCTAACATGAACCCATGGTTATGATCCATTAACTTCCAATAGTATCTAAGATTATCAGCCATTGGTCTTGGTGTGAAGTTCTCTGTGTTTGTACTGGTTCTACCTTTGGTTCTGCTCTGAGCTGCGAGCCCAGGGAGCCGGAATTTCATCATCGCTGCCTTCAGGGTCATCGAAGAAATATGGACGAGGCAGAACCCTGTTGTTGATTTCTAAGCTGCTGGTCTGCGAAGGACAGAGCTGCAGTTTAACGCTGATAAATGTTAGTGTGATGAAAAAAGGCGAAGCAGCTGAGAGACTCCGAGCTCACCTCCTGAGCTGGCCGGCGGACTCTGAAGAAGAGGATGAGGAGGCTGGTGGGGAGCAGCTCCCAGATGAAGAGGATGGCACCAAAGGCAAGGTATTCTCTGTCACCAAGTTCACTTTGCAAATCCGCCTAAAACTCAAAACACACACAATCAACACACCTGGCATCCAGCACAATCAGGTCTATGAAAACGATCCATCCAGTGGATCCAGGGTTCTGTCAGATCAGCATACACATAGTCAATACCCGTTTATCCCTTTAGTTTTGTACCAAAAATAGACTTAAAATTACCTCAACGGGCGTGTATCCCTTTAGTCGTGTAAAAAATAACAATTTAATTACTTACTTTTTGGTGTTTTTTGAAGCGTAAATAATTTTTTTTTTTTTACAGGACTAAAGGGATACACGCCCATTGAGGTAGTTTTAAGTCTATTTTTCATAAAAAACTAAAGGGATAAATGCAAATCTGACGTCTTGTGCGTGCCTCTTGACTATAGGTATGCTGGTCTGATGAGGTAAGCTGATCTGACAGAACACCGGCTGGAAACTCACCTGGTCAGAGACGTTGTACCAGTCATAGTCAAAGGATTCCACCTTGTAGATCTGAGACAGGAACAGGACCGTAAGGTTGTAGCAGGCGCGGCTGAAGAACAGGAAGATCACCGCAGCTCCCAGAGTGGCTGTGCGGCACACTGTGGTCCCCTGGTGGAAGAAAACGCATCGCTAACTCGTTTCTATTATCACCCCCAGGAAACGACATGTCATAGATAAACGCTTAAATGTTCAAGTTCCATTTCCGACAAACAAACACTGCGCCGCTGGTTTAACTGGGCTAACTGAAACCCAGTAGAAATACTGGGAACAAAAATAGACTTCTGGGTTCCTCCCTTTTTATGTCAGAGGTCCAGGGTTGGAATGCCACCCTGAGGGCTTTCATCAAGCAGTTTGCAAGTTCTCCCCATACATGTCTGCGCTCTTTCTAGGTACTTCAGCTTCCTCCCACAGGGCAAAAAATGACGCTTTGCTTTAATTCATTATGTGACGTTTGTTTTCTTGGAATTGTTTTTTTTCCTCCATGTTGTGATGGGAATCTCTGGAAAGGACTGTCTACAAATTATGGTGCGTTCACACCAAACGCCTGAGGAACGGATTGTTATGTATGCTAAAGGAAAAAAGAGCGAGCGCTGATCGTTATTGCTGCACTAAAATATTTTTTATGAACTATAGAGAACCAGTTTATACATTTGTCTGGCTCTCCAAATAGAGAACTGCATATTTCAGTAGGATCATAATCCCGATGAATTGGCTGCATAGATGACACTTTGAAATTGACTTTTTTTTTGCTAAAAAACGTGTTAAAACTATTTTTCCAACTCTTAAAGTAAATAAATTGGTCTTCGACCACGCCGAGCTTTACATCGAGGTGTTGCAGGACGTTAGGGCTCTATTATGTAGATAAACTGCCCCCATGTGGCTTTATGATAGTTCAGCAGTACAGCCAGCAGATTGCGCCATGTCTGTTGACGTCATCTCATCGCATTTGTTGCTGTAACTCTATTTAGGCTCAAAAAGGACAATGCAAACGATCGGGATGGACGCTTGGTGTATATAACCTTATTTTATTAAGATCAAAGATTTCATCAGATTTTTTGTAGCCATATTAAGTGACTATGCATCTTTAAAGTCGCAGGGAAGCGGCTGTTCCAAAGGTTGCAATTCCGAATTATTCCGAGTGGTGGACGACTTTACAGGAGTGAACAAAGTGAATGTGATTGGTCGATTATCAAGAGGGTGGGATTGTTGTGGCAGAAGGTTCACAAGCAAGTTTGATTGTAGCCGGTTTCTCAGAATAATCTTGCTAACCAGTTAGCAAC